TGCTACAAAATTATCTACAGACATGTTCTGAAACATGATAGTTCACAGAAATTGTCAGAAACGATTCAGAAAAGTCAGATCCGAGTAGGAGTGATGGCTGCAGATGAAGGAAAGGTGAAAATCGAGAAGTTCGATAGTGCATACTTTGGGTTCTGGAAGATGCAGATCAAGGATTACCTGTATCAGAAGGATATGTACGAACCACTCACAGGAAAGAAACCAGAGGGTATGAAAGAAGAGGAATGGACTCTTCTCGACAGAAAGGCTCTTGGAGCCATTCGACTGGCGTTCTCACGTAATGTTGCTTTTAACATTGCAAAAGAAAAGACGACAACAAGTCTTATGGATACTCTTTCCAGTATATACGAGAAACCATCAGCCTCAAACAAAGTTCATTTGATGAGGCGGTTGTTCAATCTATGGATGTCTGAAGGCGCTTCAACGACGCAACATATCAATGAACTCAATACTGTTACAACTCAGTTGAGTTCAGTTGGGATCGAGTTCGATGATGAAGTACGAGCTTTGATACTTTTGTCTTCTCTACCAGAAAGTTGGAATGCTATTGTCACAACTGTGAGTAGCTCATCGGGAAACAATAAGTTAAAATTTGATGATATTCGTAATTTGGTTCTCAGTGAAGAGATCCGGCGGAGGGAGTCGGGTGAATCATCAACCTCTTCATTATTGCATATAGAGTTAAGAGGAAGAAGTTCAACCAAAGAAAGCGGACGCGGAAAATCAAAGGGAAAACGATCCAAGTCCAGAAATCATCGTAGTTCCCAAAACTCGAAGCAAATCGAGTGTTGGAGTTGTGGGAAGACCGGGCATTACAAAAATCAGTGCAAGAATGCACGAAAGAATCAAGAAGCGAAGGACGAGGCAAACGTTGCCTCTACCTCAGGGAAAGATGATGTGTTGATATGCTCTTTAGAAAGTAAGGAGGAGTCTTGGGTGTTAGACTCTGGAGCATCTTTCCATGCTACCTCACAAAAGCAACTGTTCGAGAATTATGTTCCCGGAAATCTTGGTAAAGTTTACCTTGGTAATGAGCAATCGTGTGAGATTGTAGGTAAAGGTACAATAAAGATTAAGTTGAATGGGTCTGTATGGGAATTAAAAAATGTTAGACATATTCCCGACCTGACGAAGAACTTAATCTCAGTGAGTCAGTTAGCCAGTAAAGGTTACACAACAATCTTTCACGGTGATGATTGGAAGATCTCAAAAGGTGCGATGACAATTGCTCGAGGCAAAAAGAGTGGTACTCTTTACAAGACTGCAGGAGCATGCCATTTGATTGCAGTTGCAGCAAATGAAAATCCCAATCTATGGCACCAAAGACTTGGGCATATGAGTGAGAAAGGGATGAAGATCATGCACTCAAAAGGAAAACTACCAGGTCTTCAGTCAGTAGAAATTGACATGTGTGAAGACTGCATACTTGGAAAGCAGAAGAGAGTTAACTTTCAGACAAATAGAAGAATTCCAAAGAAAGAGAGACTTGAGCTTGTCCACTCTGATGTTTGGGGTCCAACGATTGTCCCATCCGTTGGTGGGAAGCAATACTTCGTGACGTTTATCGATGATCACTCCAGAAAGGTATGAGTTTACTTTCTGAAACACAAGTCAGAAGTATTTGAAGCTTTCAAGATTTGGAAAGCTATGGTAGAAAATGAAACAGGATTGAAGATTAAGAAGCTCAGATCCGACAATGGTGGTGAATATGTAGACACTAGATTCAAGAAATTTTGCTATGAGCACGGAATCAGAATGGAGAGGACCGTGCCTAGTACGCCTCAACATAATGGTGTAGCTGAGCGTATGAATCAAACATTGACTGAAAGAGCCAGAAGCTTGCGTGTACAGTCAGGCTTACCAAAGCAGTTCTGGGCAGAAGCAGTCAACACAGCAGCTTACTTGATCAACCGAAGTCCATCGGTACCATTGGAGCACGGAATACCAGAAGAGGTATGGAGCGGAAAAGAGGTAAAACTCTCACATCTTAGTTTTCGGTTGTGTAGCATATGTCCATATAAGTGATCAAGGTAGAAACAAACTTGACCCAAAATCAAAGAAGTGCACTTTCATTGGTTATGGTGAAGATGAGTATGACTACCACATATGGGATGATGAAAACAAAAAGATGATCCGCAGCAGAGATGTAATCTTCAATGAAAGAGTGTTGTACAAGGACATGCATAAGACAGGTATTAGCAATTCAGAATCGAGTGGGCCAGTTTTTGCAGAAGTGGAAGATGTCCTAGAAAATCCTATAGTGAGGAGTCCTCAGTCAGAGGAATCAATTGAAGAAGGTGATGTGCAACTAGAACCTCTTACTCCAACTCCTGTATTGAGAAGGTCCTTTAGACCTCATGTGCCAAACAGGAGATACATGGACTACATGTTGCTGACTGATGGAGGGGAGCCCGAAGATTATATAGAAGCTTGTCAAACCACAGATGCTAGCAAGTGGGAGTTTGCCATGAAAGAAGAGATGAAGTCTCTGATCTCCAATCAGACATGGGAACTAGTCAATTTACCCATGGGGAAGAAAGCACTTCACAACAAATGGGTGTATCGGGTGAAGGAAGACCATGACGGTTCCAAAAGATACAAAGCCCGACTAGTTGTCAAAGGATTTCAGCAGAAAGAAGGAGTTGACTACACTGAAATATTTGCTCCAGTCGTAAAGCTCAATACTATCAGAACAGTGTTAAGTATTGTGGCTAGTGAAGAGCTCTACCTAGAGCAATTAGATGTGAAGACTGCATTTCTCCACGGAGACTTAGATGAGGAGATCTACATGCACCAACCTGAAGGATTTTTAGAAGGAAAGAAGGATATGGTGTGCAAATTGAAGAAGAGCTTGTATGGTCTGAAACAAGCTCCAAGACAGTGGTACAGGAAGTTTGAAAGCTTCATGCACAAGGAAGGTTTCCAGAAGTGCAATGCCGATCACTGTTGTTTCTTCAAGAGGTATAAGTCCAGCTATGTCATATTGTTACTTTATGTTGATGACATGTTAGTAGCAGGTTCAAATATGAGGGATATCAGAAATTTAAAGATGCAGTTGTCAAAGGAATTTGACATGAAGGACTTAGGACCAACAAAGAAGATTCTTGGAATGCAAATCACGAGAGATAAGCAAAAAGGAGTTTTGCAGTTATCTAGAGGAGTACATCAACCGTGTTTTGCAAAGATTTAACATGGACAAGGTCAAACCAATCAATACACCTTTGGCCAGTCATTTTCGTCTATCCAAGGATCAATCTCCTCAAACAAAGGAAGAAGAAGAAATTATGGCTAAGGTTCCGTATGCTTCAGCCATTGGAAGTTTGATGTACGCAATGGTTTGTACAAGGCCAGACATTGGCCATGCAGTGGGAGTTGTGAGCAGGTTTATGGCAAATCCAGGAAAGGCTCACTGGGAAGCCGTCAAGTGGATTCTAAGATATCTACGAGGAACAACAAAAAAATGTCTATGTTTTGGAAAAGGAAATCTAAGATTACAGGGCTACGTAGATGCAAACTTTGGAGGTGAAGCTGATCATCGAAGAAGCACCACCGGTTATGTTTTCACGGTTGGTACTACAACTGTTAGTTCGATGTCGCGGATACAAAAAATTGTTGCTTTATCCATTATAGAGACTGAGTATGTAGCAGTGACAGAAGCCAGTAAAGAATTGATATGGCTTCAAGGACTGTTAGCAGAGCTGAGATTCACTCAAGAAGGGAGTGTTTTGCATAGTGATAGTCAGAGTGCAATACATCTGGCAAAAAATTCAGCATTTCACTCCAGAACCAAGCACATTGATATTCGTTATCATTTCATCAGATCTCTACTTGAGGATGAGGTGTTAACATTGAAGAAGATTGTAGGAAGCAAGAACCAACAAATATGCTAACGAAGGTGGTGACCATTGACAAACTAAAGTTGTGCTCAACTTCAGTTGACTTGCAAGAGTAGCAGACCAGAGAAGACTACTGCATTAATCAAGGTGTGAGGATAGATTGAAATCAGTCCTCAAGTGGGAGATTGTTGGTGTTTGAAAAGTAAAAAAAAAAAGGTGGCAAGTAGTTGGTTGGCAAGTGGTTGGATGACAAGTGGTTGGAGACAAGAAAAAATGGAAAGCCTTAAATGCACAAGAACCATTCCTTTTGCTATAAAATGCTTTTTCACTTTACTCATTTCTATCATCCAATTCCAAAGCAACCATTACAAGAGTTAGCCAGCAAGAAGCAGAGAGAAAATAATCTAGCTTCTGGGTGTAATTAGGTTGAAGGTTGTGAGTGTTTTGAAAGTGCTTTGTAAACACCTGTGTATTTTCTTTTCTCCCAGTAAAATATCTACATTAATCCGAAGACGTAAGCAATTTTGACCAAATTCCATTAACAATTGGTATGTCCAATTATTTCGTTTTTATTTCACTCTCACAAATCTCACTAGAAAAAGTAACGTAACGTGTATTTTTTCTAACACGGCCAACACCGGATAACACACTAACTCTAACGCTTATTTCCCTCGTTACCCTTCCCTCTATTTCAGTGGCGTCACCTCATTGGGCCACTTGCGGACCCTCACCATTACTACCCTGAGCTGCTTTTCATACTATATAAACCGCATCGTTCGTATTTTTAAGTGCTACAATTCCCCTTCGTGCTTACTAGAGTTACTTCTTCACCCTGCATTCCCTGTCTAGTAGCGCCTCCCCTTATAAACCTCACAACATTCAATACAAATTAATAAACAAACTTAGTTTGTTGCTTTTCCCTTTTCTGGGAAAATAATAGTTCCTTTAAAGTTCCTTTTTGTGGTATTATACGTTTGTTTCTTCCGTGAATCTGATTCCTCCTCAGCGTGTTGTTGGAAAAAAAAAAAAAAAATTTGAGACGGGACTCGGATACTCGATTGGCGTGTCGGTGAAATGTGAAAAAGGGGTGTGAGGATATTCGCTTGCCGAGTCGTGGGTTGGTGGATTTTATAGAATTGAATCGAGTTTGGAGTTGAATTTAATTTTGAGTTTCGGTATTGGAGCGTCGCCCCTGCGGACCTCGGGGCAGTGACGGTTGTGAAGAAGAAGACACAGTCTTCGAGGAGTTGGATTCTGTTCGATGCCACAGGGCAGGGTTCATTGCTCGACGTGGACAAATATGCAATCATGCATAGAGTTCATATTCATGCGCGTGATCTCAGAATACTTGATCCCTTGCTCTCTAACCCGTCCACCATTCTCGGTCTTGAGAAGACCATTGTTCTTAACTTGGAGGTCCACCACATATTTACTTTTGTTAGTTTATTTCTATTTTTGTAACAGTTTTTTTTTTTTTTGGTTGTGTTTTGATTTTTCTTTCTGATTCTGCCTTTCAGCATATCAAGGCAATTATCACCGCTGAAGAGGTTAGTCAGCTTTTCATACTTATGTGACTGATTTCATCCCTCAAGGGGCGGGTAGAGAACGTGAATAAGAATATTATGAAAATTAGTTTTGGAGAACCAGCTTTGACTTTCTATTTTAGGCTACTCCTGATTGAATACTTTCACTAATTGAGACATGAGAATTGGAGGATAGATGGGGTGTTCTCCGAGCATTTTATCATACTCTTGCATTTAATGGCATGACTAATCTGAGGATGGATTGAATTTTGGCGACCAATTTTTGTTTTTCTCAAGTTCATTGAATGAAATGGATAGGAATAGGACGACATGTCTTTTTTTGCCTTACTTAACATAGTGGCACAGAGGATCTTTGACCCTCTTGTACAAGAATATACCTTACATAACTACTGTACAAGAATATCTCTCAGCAAAAGACATTTTATATTTGTGAATTTCTGTATTAAAACTTTGGTCCTTTGTAGAATGGATAACTGTTTAGAAGTTGAGATGGCATTGCTTCTTCATCTGAATTCCTGATTGTATCTAAATTATGGTATGGTATAGGTATTGCTGAGAGATCCAACAGATGAAAATGTGATCCCTGTTGTGGAGGAGCTGCAAAGGCGGTTGCCTCGATCAGGGGCCGGTCTTCAACTGCAAGGACACGGTAAAGAGTATCTTGCTGGCCAAAATGATGCCGAACCAGCTGAAGAAGATGGTATGTTACATTAATGATGAACAAACAAGTAATGAATAAATTTAGTCCTTTTTATTTGTATCATTTGTTATCTGATTGATCTAAATTATACTATATAGAGTCATTCTTTGAATTCCGGGCCCGGGAGGTTGCTTTAGAAGCCATTTGTAGTTTTCTTGCTGCACGTACAGCAGAATTGGAGATGACTGCTTATCCGGCTTTAGATGAACTTACGTCTGTTAAGGTTCCAACATAAAATTAATTGACAATATGTGGAGTAGTCTAACATGTATTTAAATCATACCAAATGATATGAGGTAGGCGATGTGAGACTTCCAACATGCCCCCTCCAACGAAGCCTGTCGGATCAGGCAAATGGTACTTTTTGACCCAATGAAAAGACAACTTTTGGCCTAAGACAACAACTGGAAAGATGTTAGGTTTTGGCTCTGATACCATGTTAAGGTTCTAACATAAAACCAATTGGCAATATGTAGAGTAGCCTAACATGTATTTAAACCATACCAAATGACATGAGGTAGGCAATGTGAGACTTCCAACAACGTCTAAGGTATGTATATTATTTGAATTCTTTCTTTTCATGTTTTGGTTTCAATCTGACATCCGTGGCCCATACTCTTTCCTAATGTAAAACTTAAATTAGTCATTTGGTATTCCTAAAATAAGATTAATGGTTTTAGGTATGAGTGACATAACAAAAAAAAAAGGTTGTAGAGTTATTTAATAGGCATCATGATTTACTTTTTGGCATCTGAAGAGATAAATATTTTGTCCATAAATACTTGTATCAACTCATTTGAAATTGAAACAGGAGATACATTGTGAGATTAAAAGAAAACAGAGTGTTGCCAATTTTTATTTTCTGCCTTCTTGTTGCCAACATTATTTAGTTTAATCTTCTGTACATATATGTACTGTTACCAACAAATTGACATTAGAGCTTTGTGAGGTGTGTGAGTTGTGTGTAAACACTTGAGAGAAATGACAGGTTTAACCAATGACATCCCGCTACCCAAGTTAACGAAAGACACCAACTATGACAACTGGAAGGTACAAATGAAGGCCCTTCTCGACTCCTAAGATAACTGGGATGTGGTCAAGACTGGGTATGAGGAACCGGCGAACACAAATGGGTATTCAAATGTCCAACTGAAAAAGTTGAAGGTCGTTCGAGCTAAAGACAAAGCGGTTCTGTATCTATTATACCGAGTCATCGATGAATCCGACTTTGAGAAGATAGCCAATGCAAAATCTTCCAAAGTAACATGGGATACACTTGAAAAACCAAACAAAGGAGACGAATGGGTGAAGAAAGTTCGACTTTAAACCCTTAGGGGCGAGCTGAAAAACATGAGGATAAAACAGTTTGAAAGCGTATCAAAGTTCATTACCCGGGTGGAGACCGTGGTGAACAAGCTAAATCGGAATGATGAGAGTCTTTCATCAAATAGAGTTGTTGAAAAGATTTTGAGGTCATTGACGAATGATTTTGAGAATATTGTGTGCACAATAGAGGAGTCCAAGGACCTATCAACGCTCACCCTTGAAGAGCTTGTTGGGTCCCTGGAAGCGCATGAGCAGAGAAGGAAAAACAAGAAGGGGGAGTCCCTTGAACATGCTCTCCAGGCGAAGTCGACAATCAAAGAGGAGAAGGTGCTCTATGCTCAGAGTACTAGAGGCACAGAGGAAAAGGTAGAGGCCAAGGTGGTAGAGGAAAAGGAGGACGAGGAAATAAGCAAGACAACCAACAGAACTGGCGTGGTCAAGGTTAGGCTCGGGGTGGCCGGACAATCACAAACAATATTGAATGCTATAACTGTGGGAAGAATGGACATATTACCAAGGATTATTACTCGGTAAAATGCTACAACTGTGGAAAGCTGAGTCATATTTCCAAAGATTGTAGGTCCAAGAAGAAAAAGGAGGAACCAACAAATTTTCTTGTTGAGGAAGAAGATGAAGGATTGTTGATGGTGACAAACATTCCAGAAACTAAGGTCAAACCAAGCTGTTCTAATAACTCGATTTGGTACTTGGACACCGGCGCAAGTAACCATATGTGTGGTGACGAGCGCTTATTCAAAATACTTTCAAAGGTGGAATCCAGATTCGTTTCTTTTGGCGATGTTTCAAAAGTAGTTGTCAAAGGTCGATGAACGATCTGGTATCAACAGAGAAATGGGCGAATCGGAGAGATCAGAGATGTATATACGTACCTGATCTCAAAAGCAACATACTGAGCATGAGATAGTTAATGGAGAAAAGGGTACTCGGTTCTTATAAAGGACCGAGAACTACAACTGAAGGATAAACTCGGGAGGCTTATTGCTCTGGTAGAAATGAAGAAAAATCGCATGTACAAACTTGAGTTGAACATAGTTCAAGATAAATGCATGCAACTTGATATGGAGGATGAGACCATGAAGTGCATTTTCGGTTCGGTCATCTTCACTTCGGTGGGTTGACTGAGCTGGTGAAAAAAGAGATGGTGCTCGGACTGCCTAAAATAGATTTCGAAAAAAGGTTATGTGAAGAATGTGTGATTGGGAAGCAAGTGAGGACTTCTTTCCCAAGGAGTTCTGAGTGTCGAGCAAAGCAACAACTCAAACTGATCCATACCGATTTGTGTGGGCCAATAACTCTAGAATCATTCAGTAGCAAGAGATACTTCGTTTCTTTCATTGATGATTTCTCGAGGAAGACGTGGATTTATTTTCTGAGGAGAAGTCAGAAGTGTTTGGAACTTTCAAGAAATTCAAAGTGATGGTGGAGAAAGAAATAAGCAAAATCATCAAAGCAGTCCGATTTGACAGAGGAGGCGAGTTCACTTCTACTGAGTTCAACAAATATTGTGAAGAACATGGGATTAAGCATTTCTTGATTGTCACATATTCTCCGCAGCAAAATGGTGTAGTGGAATGAAAGAACCGAACCATTCTCGATATGGTTCAATCTATGTTGAAAGGGAAGAATATGTCAAAGAAGTTTTGGGCAGAGGCGGTGCAGTGCGCAGTCTATGTGCAAAATATATGTCCACATGCAAAGCTAGGTGAGAAGATGCTTTAGGAGATCTGGAGTGGTATGAAGCCAAATGTATCTCATTTGAAGGTGTTCGATAGCATGGCCTATAGGCAAGTACCAAGTCAGCACATGACTAAATTAGAAGATCGGAGCAAGAAGTACATATTTATCGGGTATGATGGAAAATCTAAATTGTATAAATTGTTTGATCCTGTTAACAATAAAGTGGTGGTAAGCCGAGATGTTCACGTGGAGGAAACAAAGCAGTGGTGCTGGAGTAACCCGGTCGAAGAAGAAACTAGCTCGGAAATTGTTGTTCCTTCAACAACAACAACCACCGAGTCCTCAGATGAAGAAACAGAGCCATAACAATCCAAGATGAGAAGTCTGCAGGAAATATACAACACTACAAATGAATTTCATGTTGTATGTCTTCTCACCGACTCTAAAGGCTTGAGTTTTGAGAAAGTTGTCCAAGATGAGAAGTGGAGAACAATCATGGATGAGGAGGTTGGGGCGATTGAACGCAACAAAACTTGGGAGCTGACTGACCTTCCTGAAGGAGCTCGACCCATTGGAGTAAAATGGGCGTACAAAAAGAAGATGAATGTTTAGGGAGAGGTTGAGCATTACAAGGCTCGACTTGTGGTGAAGGACTATAGACAAAAGGAGGGAATCGATTATGATGAAGTATTTGCTTCTGTCACGATAATAGAGTCAATCCGACTTCTGATCTCATTAGCTGCTCAGAACCAATGACCAATTTTACAGATGGAGGTGAAGTCGGCCTTTCTAAATGGAGTTCCGAAGGAAGAGGTGTACGTCGAGCAACCACTTGGGTACATGAAGAGAGTGGATGAGAAGAAGGTGCTGAGATTGAGAAAATCCCTCTATGGGCTGAAACAGTCTCCTCGTGCATGGAATGAGAGAATTAACGGGTATTTCAAGAAAAATGGGTATGAGCAATGTCCATATGAGCATGCCTTGTACACAGACAAATCAGAAAAGGACATGATGGTAGTTGCTCTTTATGTCAACAACCTCATATTCACCGGAAGTAATGCAAAGCTAATTAAGGAGTTCAAGGAGGTAATGAAGAAAGAGTTCAAAATGACAGACTTAGGCCTGATGAAATATTTTCTTGGCCTAGAAGTGAAGCAGTCAGAGGAAGGGATTTTTATATCCCAAGAGAGGTACGCACTTGAAATTTTAAAGAAGTTTAAAATGGAGGATTACAACCCGGTTTCTACTTCAATGGAACCGAGCACTAATCTCTCAAAGTTTGATGGAGGAGAACGAGCTGACTCTGGGAGATATCGAAGCTTAATCGAAAGTCTGAGGAACCTCACAAGTACGAGACCCGACCTAATGCTGAATGTTGGGATAATGAGCAAATACATGGAGAATCCGAGTTACACATATTGGAAGACCTTGAAGAGAATTATGAGATATGTTCAAGGAACCCTATCACTTGGTCTTTTCTATTCAAAATCGGATGACTATCGACTAGTGGGTTACTCGGATAGTGATTGGTGTGGTGATGTTGATGATCGGAAAAGTACTTTAGGGTTATGTATTCCTACTCAGGAAAACAACTTTTACTTGGCTGTCAAAGAAGTAATCAATTGTAACTTTGTCAACCTACGAGGCTGAGTATGTGGCAGCCTCTTGGAGTGTGTGTCATGCAGTTTGACTTTCAAATCTACTAAGGCATATGGGAGTGATCCGAGATGAAGGAACTGTGATCCGAGTTGATAATAAGTCGGCAATCGAGTTGGTAAAGAACCCGGTTAATCACGGAAGAACCAAGCACATCGACGTCCGATTTTATTTCATCCGAGAACAAGTCAGAGAAGGAAAGGTTGAGCTGGAGCATGTTGAAAGCCGATCTCAAGCCGTAGATATATTCACCAAGCCTCTGCCGACCACACTGCTGGAGAGTTGTAAAAGGCTGATTGGAATAAGAGATGGGAAGAATATTTAAGTTTAAAGGGGAGATTTATTGTAAAACTTAAATTAGTCATTTGGTATTCTTAGAATAGTATTAATGATTTTAGGAATAAGTGGCATAACCAAGAAATATGGGTTGTAGAGCTATTTAATAGGCATCATGATTTACTTTTTGGCATCTGAAGAGACAAATATTTTGCCCATAAATACTTGTAACAACTCGAAATTGGAGCAGGAGGTACATTGTGAGATTAAAAGAAAACAGAGTGTTGTCAACTTCTATTTTATGTCTTCTTGTTGCCAACATTATTTAGTTTAATCTTTTGTGCATATATGTAATGTTACCAACATTTCCTATGTATAAAATAAGTTAACAATATGAAGCTGCTTGAAAGTAGTTGAGGCAAAAATTATTTGCTTCGTCTCAAAATATTATCCTTTTCATTTATTATACTTATCACATCTGAAGTGTTCACTCTAATTATGTCTGTTTTTTTAATGAAGATTTTTTGTTTGGCTTGAAATGTGATGCTCTAATTCCCTGCTTTCTATTTCTTGACCTTTTTTGCTCAATCATAACTTTAGATAATTTTAATATATGTAGATTAGTAGTCGTAATTTGGACAAAGTTTGTAAATTGAAAAGTGCAATGACAAGATTGACTACTAGAGTTCAAAAGGTATGTCACGTTTTTCTATTAAAATTTTCATTAGAAGAAAAACCTATTTTCTATGAAAATATATTATGCAGTCCTTTAAATATTTTTTATTTGCACTTCTTTTATGTAAATTGTTTTTACTTTTTCTTCTAAAATAGAATCAGTTCAATATGATTGTAAATTGTCTTGATCAACTTTAAGTAGAAAACAATACATACACCTTTTTTTTTCTTCACTCAACGGGTTCTTGTTATGGTTAAGGTTAGAGACGAGCTTGAACAATTATTGGATAATGACGATGATATGGCTGATGTATACCTGTCAAGAAAGACAGGTTCAACTTCATCAGTTAGTGGATCAGGTGTTGTAAATTGGTTTGCTGCCTCCCCAACCATAGGTTCAAAAATATCTAGAGCAAGTCAAGCAACAATTCGTTTAGATGAACATGTTGAAATGTTACTTGAGGTTATGAATTTGAATTACTGTAAGAAAGTAGTAAAAACAAATCACTAGTGCAAAAAATGGCTTTTATGTCACCAAATTGTCGTCGCATGTAAAAATATTCGATGTAAATAAATGCGGTGACAATTTTGTAAATAAGAGGCGAAACTTTTACGTTGCACATCCTAGGAGGTGACGTAAAAAGTTCCTTTTATTCTTTTCCAGACCTGCTCCCTCGTCTCGCGTAATAAGGGTTTTTGAGAACGACGACGACAACTATCTTTCCACACCATTTTCGATCATTTTAACAGTGAAAAACATCAACATTGTGTCTCATTTTACGAATTTGACATTTCTCCCTGATTGGATTCGAGTTTGAAATCATTTTCGTGTATACTCGAGGTTAGTGTTCTATGTCTTCTGATATATGTTTAAATTGAATCCGTGATTGTTTTTGGGGATCTCAATCACGTTATTGTATGAATGTCTCCACTTGATTGTTATTGGAATGTCATTATTTGTTTATTTGTTTGAGTGCATTTTCGGTTTACACACTCCATTTACGTGCTTTGTTGTTTATATATTAATTTCTTTTTAAATATAAATTTTGAATCTCTAGGAGTGACGAAACTTTATAACATAATATGAATCGAAGTTGGATGAATGCACGTCATATTAGTGAAGAGTAGGAAAAGGGAGTTGAGAAATTTTTGAAATTTGCTAGTGAAAATGGAAAAGCTATGAAAGGGACATATTATTGTCCATGTGTTCGTTGTTTGAATCAAATTCGTCATAAACTTGGAGATATACGTGATCACTTATTTGTTTATGGTATTATTAAGAGTTATAAAATATGGACATGATATAGAGAAATATTAGACATCCTAACTATGTCAACTACAGATAATTTTGACGAAGGGATGGATGATAATCTAGAGGATATGATACGTGATATTGGTGAAGAAAATTTTATGAAAGCACATATATATGATTCTTTGAAATCTGATTTTGCGCAACAATTGTACATAGGATATAGTTTTACAAGATTATCAACAACTTTAAGATTGTTTACTTTAAAAGCAAGAAATGGATGGACTGATAAAAGTTTCATCGAATTATTGGAGTTGTTGAAGGATATGCTTCCCGAAGATAATGCATTACCTATTCGTAACTATGAGGCAAAAAATATATTATGTCCAATGGGTTTAGAGTACAAGAAGATACATGCATGTCCTAATGATTGTATATTGTACAAGAACATAATATGTGTTTATCTTCACATTTTCTAGTTCTTTCTATTCAAACTTATAAAGTATGCTGACTTCATATTGTTTTGTTTTTCAGGATATGTCGGATTCCACATCTGGTAGTGGTACTGGTAGTGGCAGGAGTGGAGGTGGAGGTAGAGGTAGATCTATCACCCGGTTAAAGAGGTTGACAACAAGGAGGGTAGTTAGAGAGAAAACTGATGTTGAAGTTGATTCACATTCTGGTAAGGCATCTGACCCAAATGCTGCTAAGTTTAAAAGCTATTTTGGACTACTAGCTCGACACCATGTTCCGATTACTATTCCATCTTGGGATGATGTAGAGGAAACCGAGAAGAACCTCATATGACAGGATGTTCAAGTATTTCTATATTTGTTGAATACTTTATATATCATTAATTGAATTTAACATTTATTGGTCATTTCACAGCAAAATTTTGAAGTTCCTAACACTGAGGTGATGAGGAAGAAAATTTTATCCTCTATTGCCATTAGATGGAGGGACTTTAAAACTTTCTTGACACGGGAGTATGTATTTGGAAAGTTTCAAGATGAATCTCCCTCCGTTGCCAGAATATGATATTACACAAATTAGAGAACAATGGGCAAGGTTTTTCGTTCAACAATTCTATTACTTAATTTTTTAGGTTATTGTTTATATTATATTGTGTGTATTATGTAGTTTAGGTAGCTTAGTTTGTATTAACTTCTAGTTTGTAATAAATTTTAGTTTGTAGGTTATTGTTTGTATTATATTATTTTATTATGTAGTTTGAATTATATATAATATTATATTTTTAATTTACTAGCTAAAGAAACTTGAACCTCTGGACTATCTGGTTATAATATATATTTGTAGGTTTTGGTTGTAAGACAAAATAAACCCAATTTTTTTTTAAAAAGGAGCAAATTTACGTTGTGTATTGGTATACACGACGTAAATTTACGTCACATATTGGTATACGCAACGTAAATTTACGTCACATATTGGTATACGTGACATAAATTTGTTTCTTTTTTTTTTAATTTTTGAAACTTTTTACGTCTGTTTAGTAGTATATGCAACGTAAATTAACGTTGGGTCTCGATAATTGATGTAAATTTACATCGGACTAAGGTGAAAGCAATGAGGGGGAGATTGATGATAATGTGAAACATGTCCCTACATTCCCAAGAGATGATTTTGATGATGATTCAAGTCAACAACATTCAAGACTCAAGCAAACCCAAGATATGATTTTGATAAAGATTTTATTCAACATTCAAGCAAGCCCAAGATGATTCCTGAAGACTAAATAGAGTCTTAGTGTCGCCGCCTCCCAAAACGAAGGGGCGGTCGGAGCGACGCGATGGTTTTTCGACCCTCTTGTTTTCGCATTTTTTATGGGTGGTTACAACGTCCTTAGGTTGTCCGATAACCGGGCTAGCCTAGGGACGAGATTTTCGAAAAGTGTTCTTGGGTTGTCCGATAACCGGGCTAACCCAAGAACGGATCTTGAAGGGTTCGTGGAGTCGCCACCGATGTTTTTACCGGAAACATCGGAAAAGGAGTTTAAAAAGGCGTTGGTTTTCGAAAACCAACTTTGGTCATTAGAACCAGAGTTGGGTAAGGGAGTTAGTTACGTATAAAGGAAGTGTTAGTTCCTTTACAACGCCCCTTTCGGGTTCCCTATGATAGGCCGGCTACTTTGGATAAATAATTAAACTGGAAGATTGCGCTTTTACCCTTTTATTATGCAAAATTTAAAGATTATGACTACATGCCCTAACGTCTATTACATAATTTAAATGAAAGCGGTAAAGATAGAATATGCACCTCCAAAGCAAGCTTTTTATATTTCTCTTTAAAGAGTGGGTGCTTTTTGGCAACCCTTCACTCTACAACTCTCAGAAACTCCGGAAATGCCTCGGAGGGATTCTAAAGAAGATTTAGAACGCTCAATTTATACCTAGAGACACTCAGAAACTCCGGAAATGCTTCGGAGGGATTCTAGAGAGAGAAAGTCTAGAGAGAAGGGAGAGCTACTGTGAGGTGTGTGGAAAAAGGGGAAATGGAGCCCCTATTTATAGTTTTTTGCGCCTGACAGGTCGAGACCGCCGTCTCGTCTGACAGGGTCGAGACCGCTGTCTGGACAATCCAGACCGCCGTCTCGACCATGGCAGGGGGTCGAGACCGCCGTCTGGACAATCCAGACCGCCGTCTCGACTAGGCAGGAGTCGAGACCGCCGTCTGGAGAACCCAGACCGCCGTCTCGACCTTTGCTGGTGACGAGACCGCCGTCTGGACAAGCGAGACGGCGGTCTCGTCCCTGGCGTGAGGCCAGACGGCGGTCTGGTCCTTCTAGACGGCGGTCTCGTCCTTTCAGGGCGAGAAACTTTATTTTCGGGCAAAAAAACCTTCTTATCCTAGTACGGGGGCCTAATAGTCTCTCCTAGTGGCTTGTTAGGCTTCGACCGTCTTCAAATAGGAGGTCTTCTTGTCTTTATTTGGAGGCCGGACAAGATTTGGGGTCTACAGCTGCCCCTCCTTTACCTGACTAGTCGACTGTTGGCTTGTTGTGCCAGACAGGTAGACAAGAAGGTAAAGGAGTTGACCCTCTCGCCCGGCTCCCCTTCGGACGTCCCATCTTGTGGCGGATGATCCTCTGGGGAGATGTTGTGTTTGTGCACCTCCGGGATACTACTCCTGACGTAGCCGATCCCCTTGGTTGACACGTGGTAGAACCTCTGGATACTACTCCTGACGTAGCCGATCCTTCGGTTGATGGGTATAAACCCCCCATCAGGCTGGTAGTTACAGTCCGTTGCGTGGGACTGGATGGGTATGAACCCCCCATCAGGCTGGTAGTGGCGGCTTACTGTTCAGGTGGCCCATGCGCCGTCTTTATGAGGAGCAACTTCTGTGTTCGTTAGTAGATGTGTTTATCCGGGTTGTGCCGGGGTTTTTTGGTTGGTTGTCCATCCAGCCTTGTTGGTTGCTGGGGATTCTTTTTTTTTTGTGGTAATCATCCGACTCTTGCTGGCTGGTCGGGTTCTTCTCTTCTCTTTTTGTGTTTGACTTTTGCTCGGTAGTCGAAATTTATCGGTTAAGGTAGTTGTTTTATCTTAATCCTGCCTTTTTCTCGCGGTTTTATCTCTTTTTTCTCGCAATTTTGGATTTTGGCTTTTTTATTGAGCGTATGCCTTTTCTCTTTTAAGCTTTTTGTTACGCTGGCTTTTGCAAAGGGTGGCAAAAGGTCGGCGAAGTCATACCGGGATACCTTTTTTGGTTGTTTTTCATGAATGCAAACATGAGGCTGAATGCTTTTTTATTTGTCTACAGTATTTTTGTTTGTTTTATTTTTGACAAAGTTATTTTTGTGCGACTACTTGTGTGTGGATGCTGTTGATGCAAATTTATTTTAGTTGAGGACATTTAGAAAGTGACCGGTACTTTCCTTCTTTTTGTTCTCTCGTGATTATTTGCACTTTTTGTTTTAATCCTTTCTTTTGCCTAGACCGCCCTTTGCGGGTTTTCGATCTGGCGGGTTTTGATTTTTGTCTGAGGTATTTTGGTGGGCTCTTTTTTTCCTTTTTATAAAAGCCTTAACTTTTGCCTAGACCGCCCTTTGCGGGTTTTCGATCTAGCAGACTACCCTGTACTTTTTTACTTGGGACGGGCCCTGGTTGGTGATGTGCGTCTTTTGTTTTTATGCTTTCTCTAGTTGCTTGTTTTATGCATGCTCATATTTCGTTAATACGGAGGCATTTACACAAGTAGGTAAAGAGAAGAAAAGACAATTTTATTGATATAACCATATGGTT